TCAAATAGCTTAGAAAGAATCACATGTTTTAAAGAATGCAATGCAGTAGATCACAGAGACCATGCATAATACATTCTTTTTTATGAGAAAGACTCTTTATATGAGCTTGACAATAAAGACAGAATTGTCCTATTTAGCCAGAAGGCTGATTAAAATAAATTATGCTACTTGATGTTATCACTTTTTCAGGCTGTTTTAAAGGGTAATGTTATGGTAACCAAGCTCTATACATGTAGACATATCCATTAATATAAAATGATATATTTTCAGTAAACATCAAAAATTTACAATGTATGTTCTGGGAAAATCAAATTGATGGCAGCCATAACATTTTATATTAGAAATCTTATAGAACAACACAGATGTAGAAACTGTTTTATAATTCCAGTTTACTCATTTCGTTTTGCATCTTGTAACATCATCTGCCACACAGGAAACAAATATTACTACAAGTATCCTGAACTCAGTCAAAGAATCACCTTGATTTGTTTCCTTGGAACCATTTGATCTGAAATATGACACTGATGATTTAATAGTAGAAACATTTAAGAATCTACAATTTCTACACAGAATTTTTTGTTGAGAAACTGGATTCTGGAATTTGATCCTGACAGTCTCAAGGTTGACTCAGCTTTCCATCCTTTTGAGGTTGGTAAAATTATGACCCAGACTGTTGGAGGCTCATATGCTGACATTGTAAACTGCCCAGAGAATGCTGTAAAGTATCATTCTAAGTGCTATTGCTATTCTGATGGAGATAGTTTCCTTTTAAACTTTATTTTTGATGTTGGCATAGTTTTGTGATCCACTCTGGGTTGGATTTCATAATTTCAGCAGCTATGTAAATCTAAAATAATTTTGAAAGAAAAATCTTCATCCAGGTTCAGTCCGAGCCAGGAATAAACAAAACGGAAACTGCTTTAGAAAGAAGGTTGCAGTATCCAAACTCCTGAGAAGAAAGGTGAGGCCAGATATTGTCCATGGTAAATGCTGTTCAGTTATTTCCAACCCTTTGTGATCCTAACCCCCCCATAAATAAAAACAAAAACAGTTTTATGCCAAGGGCTGCTGCTTTGATTTCTTGTAACTCATGAGAAGATTCTAAAGCTTTGCAAAATTTTGTTTTGGTGGTTTGATTCAAAGATCATTCAATTGAATCTTCAAATGAAATTGACCTCCTGAACTGGATCAATAATTCAGATAAAACTATCAAACGAAGTAAAATTGAAAGCCTTTGAAATAGCTTTCTATAGCAACAATTTTAATGAAAAGGTGATTAAAGGAAATGACTATTACTCATGTTTTTTTATAAAATCACGTAATAGAGGTAGTATGTTAATAAATACTAAGTGTTTCTGATGAGATGACAAATATAACATTTATTTGATTTTGTGAGCTTTCTAGAGGCACTTGGCCAACTGATATTCTAGATTTTTAGTTGAAGTGACAGAAAGAGAGAAGCATTCACATTATGGTTTTGGAAATTGAGTTAAAACTACCTTATACTGAGAGGGACAAAAACCTGATATGTTTTGTTCATATGATGTAAATAGAAAATGGGCTAGAAATGATTAAGCTTGAGGCAAGCAGAAGGAGAAAACAACGAATAAAATGAATAGGATTAAAGAGATTACTGGAAAACTATGAGTAACAATTAAAAGTAGGTTAAGCCTCAGTCCATAGGACCACTAGGAACTGGACTCAACTTGAAGGCATCAGAATATTTGGACATGAGTCAATCGGATCTTCTCATTTAATTGTACTTTTCATGCCATAAGGTGAGAGCTATACTTAATAATTATGGAAAGGAGAAGGAAAATATTTAGAACCATAGAAATGAATTTTCCCTTCCCTGAAGAAAAGTTATTTCTGAGTTCAATACCGGAAAAAGTGTGCTTGAAAGAGAAAATTATTTCCAACTAAAGTCCTTTAGTAAAGCTTGAATTTAGTATTCTTGAGACATTTACATTGATTTAATTTGCCATTCAGCTATTGAATAAAATCTGTCAAAGTCCACCCCACATAATGACCAGCTTCCTTGGCAATTCTATCTTCAGGGTTGCAAGCATCCATCTCTTCATAAAAGCCATGAGAAACGGATTAAATCATTCACCAAAGAACTTCGCTGTGGAGGGGGATTTTTAATGGCTGAAAGGTGACAAGGCAGGTGACCAATTTAAATGTCTTTAGATCACACGTTCTTCCTCTCAAGTTGGATAATAGCTATATCAAAAGAATGTTTGCTAGCTTTCCATGACTTCAAATGAAGGCTTATCTACAGGAATATCCATTGATTTATCATCTATCAGACCCCAATGGTTAATAATAAAAAAGAAGAAGTACAGCTGGATAGGTTGAGGAGAAATTAATTCATATTCTCACCAGCAACCCACAGCTGGAGAATATTAAATACAGCAACACTCCAGAGGAAGAACAAATGATTGGCACATAGATATGAATGATATAAAACTGGCACATTTAACAGTTTCTTTTCTTTCCCCCTCTTTCTTTCTCTATGCAGCACACTCCTTTTCCAAGCAAAAGATTCATTTTCAGTTAGTAAAATCCTTTAAAAAAAAAAGGAAAGCAAATGCAAATGTATATCATGTGTGTTTTCTTGTGAGTAAATATTTGCCTCTGTTATGCAACCACTATTACCTAATGCAATTTTTATTCCTAAAATTTATTCTTCTGTGTAATTGTTCTTATTTTAAATACATTGTTGACTAAATTTAGGGAATTATGCTGTGGAATATCAATGTGGTTGATGATGAAGGTAATATTTTCTTCTCATTGAATTTTAACATGAATTTCTGCAGTTTATACCACTATTGCTAATGTATATCCAGAGTGAGGTTTGAGATGTTTCCAAGCCAAAATCCAAACATACCCAAATGTTTCTGTACCAATAAAATATGAATGTTGAGAAAAATGAACATAAAATCCTGGAAAGCATAAGCTCCATTAAAATGTTCATGCTTAATACAACAAAAAATAAAATGAATAAACCATGCAAACATGGACCACAATAATCTTGTGGTTATCAAAACAAAAAAAAGTGAAGACAATCATGCAGAACACAGTGGGAGAATTGGGTGAACAAGTACAGTTTTCCAACAGGATAGATATTATCATGAAGTGGGTCGTATTCCAATGAAAAACATGTTTTCCCCTATTTTACTTTAAAAAAAAAAGATATGTCCCACCTCTTCCTCCTCCTCTCCTCCTCCTCCTCCTCCTCCTCCTCCTCCTCCTCCTCCTCCTCCTCCTCCTCCTCCTCCTTGTATTTTTTGAAACACAAAGATAACAAGGGATGTGTATGTGGGCAGTTAAATTATGAAAGCAGCACCACAGTAATATGATGCTGGTACTGTTTTGTTTTTGTTTTTTTTTACTATGTGGGTCACTTAAGCATGGATAAAGAAATGGATTTGTGTTGCAACAGTACAATATTGCTTTTGTCAGTTTGATCCTGCCCTGTTTCCCAGATGTATGTTCTACAGCAACTAACTTTACTTTTTTAGACTGCCTTTTCAAATGAACTTAAGTTTGGCACTTTCAGAATGTTGTTCTGATTTGTTTTTACTTCATGGGTGATTGCTATATTACTGTTTTATTTTTTGCAGTAGGCTTTTTTTAACTGTTCCTTTCACCTTGTATACTATTCAGGGTTTCTTTGAGCAGAACAGCAAAATCGCCATCATCATCAATCTTTTTAGGATATTAAGAGCAGGAAAAGAAATGTTAATGGCTGTGCCTTTCACGATTGGAACAGTATTACAAGGCAATGTAAGGAAGGCCTTTGTATGATCATTACACTTTAGCTCTATAATTAACTGGACCCTTTATAAGATCTCATATCACAAAACTTGAACAAATGGTTAGCTTGCTGTTGCCTGTGTTACCAATAATTTATTATTTACTTGAAGTGAAAAGATTCCATAATAACTCAGTTACCAGGGTGCTGATTTAATGAGTACGTTTGAATGTATGTATTTCAAAGTCTATTAGATAGGAGATAATGATTACTTAAAAAATTGCAAGCAAATCTTGGCATTGCTTCCCCAGAATAAAGGTTATTTACTTAATGCAATGTCATCAAGTCATACAAAAATAGCATCATATCTATTTGAGGATAAAATGTTCCTATGCAAGTTAATTTAAAGGGGCAGGAAGTTTCAGGAAAGAAATTGATTGGAGGAGAGAGCTGAGGATTATTTAGCATGCCTAAGCTTTAAAAATGCAAAGTCATGTTGCTTTCACACAGTTACAAGTTATTATTGCCATTTTTAATGGCACTTTGAATAATTAAAGGGAGGAGGAGTCTCATCCGTGTTTGATGCAAGAAAGTCGGAAGTAAAGCATGAATAAAAATGGCTGTCCTATACCTTTTTTGCCAAGATCTTTGATCTCTCCAGATAATTGGTTGTGTACTGTAGGACAAAGAAAACCTACACAGCAGTAAAATGTACAACTGTAAACAATTTACTCCTTGTTAAATGTAAAGTCAATATTGCTTTGTCCATGAAGATATATACCACTAATGTATACAAATAATCACTGTTGCATCAAAAAGAGCAACAAATGTACTATGATATAAAAATCTGCTGAAATATTTTGCTAATAATCATTGTGTCTATATTTGCTGTAATCCAATGAATTATATATATTTCTGTATATCTGTCTCTAATCGTCTCTCTTTCTCACATAATCTATCTATCTATCTATCTATCTATCTATCTATCTATCTATCTATCTATCTATCTATCTATCTATCTATCTATCTATCTATCTTATATAGCACCAATACCAGATACCTTGAAAACAAACATTGACCATGTCATAAAAATCGAAGGCAAATTCTCTGGAAAAACAGAGAAGGACTTTAAGAACATTAGCAAAATGAAGCAATGAACACAGTAAAAAGTAAAACTTCTAACTTTACCCCACATTATTATTAATGATATCATTAAAGATGGGGTATAAGTAAATATATTTACCTTCATTTTCCTTAATTGTAAAATTAGGGTTGTTGGCCATTTCAGATGGAAGGTTATAAACAAAATAGTGTCCATTTTTGGGGTCATCTTTGTCAATTACTCTCATGGTATGAATGACCTAAAATAGAAAAACAAACATATTTCCATAAATCGGAAATGTTCAATATAATACTGGTGAGAAACCAAAATTTGTGTGAGAAGAGATATTGGTTTTCATTGTAGAGTAAATAACTAAACACAAGGATCCAATGTTGCTCTATTCCATGGTGCAGTAAAGGAATACAAGACAGTTTATCTCCTCTAACTTTCTCTTATTAACATTCAAGGGGTATAACATTGTCCTAGGGATCAGGGAATTTCTTTTCCTAAGAAAAATATGTTAAATATTTAATATGCAAGGGTCACACTAGTTCTTTTGGGGATTAAAATGAAATTACTTTAAGGTGTTATTTTCCCAAGCTTTGGAGAATGAAGGAGACAAGGAAATAGTGACACTAATTGATCTTGATTTCAATGGAGAAAGGTATGCAGATGCTTAATTATCCTATGGAATTAAATGATTCTCAGTTTTACTCTTTGACTTCAAAGTAATTCCTTTAGATATAAATAGAACTTTTTAAAAGTGTTTTTAAGACTATACTTAGGATGTGTAATTTGAGCTATGTTACGTTGCATGTTAGAATATATTTAGTTAAATTCTGCTGGTGCTCTCTTCCTGCTCAGAAATGAAGCACTTATCAAATTTTTGTCCATGCTAAATTAGCACTGAAAAGTGAGGACTATAATCTTGCTACCAATTATACTACTGTGAATATTTAAACTGCAGATTTTGTGTGTCTACAGAAACATCAGAGATTAAGTTTCACTCTGGCAACACTTTAATCCCACTGTTTATAACACTTTGTACTGATCAGCAAAAGATGGTTGCGTGTGTTTTCCAGTATAGGTGAATTTCTCATGCTCACTTTGCAATGTACAATAACGTACAAAAAACGGAAAAATAAAACAAACAAAAACAGCACAACATGAGTTGGCTACACCAGTAAGTGGAATTTTGCTAGTTAAGCATAACATTAGTTGATATGGACCTATTCCAGAAATAGGAAAAACTGAAACTATATTACATTGTTTCATTGCTTAACACTTATTTTAGCTATCTTTCCACAACTGGATTTTTAATTGAATTTTATATTGGTTTTATTTTGATTTCTTAGGGGTTGTAGATGTCAAAATCTCACAAGATTACTAAATTGCAAGCTTTTATCATTCTTGTTCAAAGCTTCTTAATAATTTAGGTGAGAAAACCAAACACTGGTTGATTTCATTATTTTGGGGCCATGTAAAGGCTTCTGTTTAATTATGGGGCACAGCACATGTAGGAGGTTCACATGTGCATTAGTATCCTAGATGCTGCATGACCAATATTTGGCTTATCTACAGGGCCTCAGATATCTAGTGATCTAGTGATCTTTTTAAAGGAAAAAAATTGGAAATCAATACATTGCTACTGCAATGCTAATTTGACTCGTGGGGCACGTAAAATAATGACAGAGAATTTTAAAAAAACAGAGCAAAATTATTTTTAATAGCTTCAATGGAATATAAAATAGAAATATATCCGAACCATCCTGGAATTTTTATCAGATATAAATTTTGTAAGTGAGAGAAAATTGATTTCCCTCCAGATTGTCCACAACATGAACCTGAATATGTTTTCCCCAACTTCAAGGAGATCTTATTTCCCCTTTTCAGTGTTCTCTAACGTTGTGAAGGACAGGAAAAAAATTCATTTAGCTCTATACCAAGATTGGTTTAAAATTTGTGTCATTATGAGTTTATCTCAGTGGTTCTCAACCTTTCTAATGCCACGACCCCATAATACAGTTCCCCATGTTGTGGTGACCCCCAACCACTTATACATCACCGGTTGCCAGGGCCGTGTCCAAAGAAAAGGGGGAAAAATGGCGGACAGGCTTGTTTGGTGACCCCCGTGAAATGGTCGTTCGACCCCAAATGGGGTCCCGACCCACAGGTTGAGAACCACTGGTTTATCTAGAGCCCGGACAGACTCACAATTCAACACATGATCTGCCTGTGGAATTCCTCAACCTGCCTTGTCTCAAAGGGGCTTTTTCAAAAGATAACTAGATTGCTTTTTCCTTGAAAAGGAAGAAGATTTTTCGTTGGTCATCCAGCAATATACTATAAGAAGCTTTGTTGGTTCTGGTAGGATGATGGGGCCAAGGAGGGATTTGTTTTGATTACTTCACAGCCGCCACCATCCTGCCAGAACTGATGAAGTTTCTTGGATGAGAAGCAAAACTTCTTCCTCAAGGAGAAAAAAAAAACAAAAAAAGTCCAGTTGCCTTTTGAAAAGCACCTTGAAGACAACTATGATCTGGATGACTGAGAATCTCCACAGACATTCAACCTGCCTTTTTTTCCATTTCCCACTCAGAACGATTCTGATGGATCTTTCTGTGAGACAAAGAGGATGAATTTGTGATTGCATTTGAGGGTTTATATTGAAGTTCTAAAGCCATGAGGTAGAACTTTTCTATTTCAGCTTTGGGAGAGATTTTTTTGTTTTATCCTTTATCCCTGAGATATATCTGTGGAACAGAGAACTGCTGCCTTAATCTGTCTCAAATTAAAGCAGCAGAATGGATGTCTTTTTCTCCAAACCTGCTATCTAGCTCCCATGTGCACTTCTACTGAACTTGCGCCATAAGACACTCATCTTCACCTTCACAGTTGCTTTCATTAATCCGTTTTATCCTCTATAAACACCCTCATATTCTCAGTACATAAGAACATATCACTCTGCTGTTTCACATAACTAAATCAATAAATTAAGCGTGTGGGTTCCCATAGCACCTGTCACCTCACTTGTGTCTTTGCACAAAGCATTGCCATATGTAAAATAAGTAAACAACAGGAACTGTTTGTATTTTGAACTTACAACTTCCTAATGATTTTTCATTGCCCAGTTCTCACTATGCTATCAAGTTCTCATTATTACATCTTCCCTCTCACTTGCCCCAGTACTGAGGGATTGCTTAATAACTGACCATAATTACAGTATAAAAAATATTCTCACTTCTTAACCTTGGAAATCATAACATTAGAAATGGAAGGAGAAGTCTTTTCTTGATAGATCTATTTTTTCCCGTTTTTCAATATTAATTGCTTTTTGCTGTTTTAAACTGCCTCAAAGATCTGTAAAAGGCTGGGCTATGAAACTTTTTTGTGGCTTGAGAATTGTCCTAGCCATTCCCTGTAAGAATGAAGTTGGTGGGAAGGGAGAACTCACACAATTTTATCCTAACAACATTCTGGTGAAACATTTTAGGCTGAGAAACTAGAATGGCTGTCACCCAGCATTCTTTATGGCCAAATGTTGGTTTAAAGTTGGGTTTCCCTGATCCCAGCCTATCACTCTGTTTATAATAGCACATTTTAATGGCTGTATGAGCCTTGAAAAACATACGGAAAAACTTTTTAATTCAGCAAAATACATTGAGGCCTTTGAACTATAGTGCTGGAGAAGACTCCTGCAAATCCTCTGGACTGCAAGGCGATCAAACCGGACAGTCCTAGAGGAGATCAACCCTGACTGCTCTTTAGAAGGCCAGATCCTGAAGTTGAAACTCAAATACTTTGGCCACCTAATGAGAAGGAAGGACTCACTGGAGAAGAGCCTAATGCTGGGAAAGATTGAGGGCAATAGAAGAAGGGACGACAGAGAATGAGATGGCTGGATGGAGTCACTGAAGCAGTAGGTGTGAACTTAAATGGACTCCAGAAGATGGTAGAGGACAGGAAGACCTGGAGGAACGTTGTCCATGGGGTCACGATGGGTCGGACATGACTTCGCAATTAACAAAAAAAAAAACAATATAGTTCAATTCCTTGTCTTCTATCACCCACTTTGGGGAAGTCAAGCCCTCATGCTGCTCAAAGGCAAAATATGATATAGCAAGTAACTGAAAGGGACATTAGAGGATCTGTAATTGTCTTTTCTGCCAAGACTTGCTACAACAGCAAGACGGGTGGTGTATAAATTTAATAAATAATAAATAAACCTGTAGACACCAGAATGAGCATGTGCAGAACCCATCTTCCTCTTTATTGTGAAATGAAAACATTTTATATGTTTAAAGGAATTCCGCAATACATACTAGTTGACATCCTTTAAAACAGAATTTAGTTGGGATAGAGTACAATGCCCCAGGAGATAAGAAACAATATTTTGTACAAGTGAGCGTTCTTGAATAAAGGATATTTTTGGCTCAATCCAATTTCTCTCCGTATTCAGACGATGGGTATGATAACTCTTCTGTAGGAGTTTTCTTTCCAAACTGGTGACTAATTAAAATAATTAATATTAGACTGATGAGTAGAAACACGGATGGGGGTGGGTGATGTCTAAGTCAGCAAAGTTGTGTAAACAACACCCAATGCAATGCAATATGCTTTTTCAGCAGGTTTAAGTTTAGCAGTCTACTCTTACAAATTTGGAATAAAAGCATGAAGAGTTTATCTTGCAATGCTGTATATCAACTGTTTTTAATGTATTCCTTCATATCACTGGCAGCCGTTGTTGCCAGTCTCACTTATAGCAAAATAGAACACATGGGGAAATGAACTGCATAAGATAGTTTACCCCATATATTTACACACTGCAAAGCAGGTTTTCTAAGAGGTTGAGATGTAATCAGCTCCCCTGAGGTGATTCAAACTCAATTTAACTTAACTGTAAGTTAACCTGCAAATGTGTAAATGTATTCATTGAGTGCATTTGTCCTTTATGCTATACAATAGAGATTTAATTCAAAGAACCGGGGGAATTCAGATTTAGACTAAAGGAAAGCCTCCTAGAATTGAATAAGTATTTTCCAAGGGTAATTTGTTATGTATATCTGCATATCAAATTGACATTTTTTTTTAAAATAAAAGCCCTCAGAAACACATTCATCCTCCTGAAAAACTCTTGTCATTCTGAATTATTCTTCAGTATTGAATCTCAGATATGTATAGCCTGGGTTCACGATTCATGAGGCTGAAATGTAAATGGTTTCATCCTGGTTGCTAGTAATCGTGACCCAATTCTTTTTGTTTTCCCCATGATCCAAAAGAGCAGCAGGAAAACTGCAAAAGAGGGCAGGGTTAATTATAGTGAAGAAGAGATGGGTTAGGAAGTTCAATATTTTTACTTCTTTTGCATGGAAGTTGATTTTTTAAAATACTGAATGTACATAATTTCAACTGCATTTTAGGTTGCTGGTTACAGTTATCAGTGTTGTGGTTCTAATTCATTGAGACAGGTTTAGAAGGGATTCTGGCCTTGTAAAGCCAACATGGACATTCTGAGATTTATTGAAATTGGCACGCACAATTAAATATTAAGTGGTTTACCGAGATGTGTTCTATCTTAATAAGTTGCGTGGTTTTCTTTTTAGTTCCCATCCACCTCCATCTGCTTTTTTCATCCATTTTCTGTGAGTTTCACCTTTTCTTTTTAGCCTAATGCAGCGCTTCTTAAACCTGAATAGGGTAAAAGTGTTTTTTCTTGGGGTATCAATACACTTAATCCAAACCCAATCACAACAGAGATGTCTAAATAAAAGTATTTTCTGATGTATGTAATGGATAATGAAGTAAACGTTTTGGGAAGACCTAGTGTAGTATCTTATCTTCTGTCCATTCTCTGTCTTCTTGACTCAGCTATGTTTTTCTTTCCTTTCATCACGCTACATAAAATAATACACTGAAATTTTCAGCCTATTATCACCAATTGAAGTTATTTCCTTCCTTCCAAAACCGTTACTTGTGGTGGTCCTTGGTGCTCGCTGAACTAGGTTGTTTTCTTGCAGACATTTTATTACCCAACTAGGTATCATCATCTGTGCTAGAAGGGAATGGGGTTTGCTCTCTCCCCACTCCCTTCTAATATTAATGATGTTACCTTGTTGGGTAATGAAACGTCTGCAAGAAAACAACCAAACACCCACAGTTCAACCCTGAGTTATATATATATATATCCTCTTCTATTGGTAACATACATTGTTTGTCAACATCCTGTTACCATTACTTCTAACTCTTTAAGCAGTTAGAACCATCACAAATATTTCATCCTAAGGCAACTCACCAAGCATGTCCATGGACAGTCTTTTATCAATGTAGCTGACAGAATATCACAATTTGTTGTAGGTTTCTGATCAGAAAGTATAATCGGGGGGGGGGGGGACTGGAATGGGATTGGCTGCTTGCCCTAATAGGGCAGCTGATTCTTCTCACTTACAGTATTTCTTCACATGCTAAAGAGAATTCTTTGAAAAGTCCTCATTTTGGGATCACTAGAAAGCTCAAGCACTTCCTCAATTGTTCAGAGTGAAATGAAAGATCAACCAATGATGATTTCTCCCAGATAATGCATGCTAAATAGGAAATTTTTAAAAAAGAAGTGTGCTAAATTGTCCCAAAGGCATTTTTCAAAAAGCATCTGGACTTTCTTGGTTTTTTTTTTCCTTGACAACATTTTGCTTCTCATCCAAAAAGCTTCTTCAGTTCTGGAGAAAAAAGAGTGTGGGCGCTTGCATGATTAGAACACTGAATTGACACTCTCCAAGCCCGTGTTTGAGACCCCAGTGCTGCTGTGCGATGGGGTAAGCCCTCCGCGTTTGCTCCAACTCCTGCCAGCCTATCAGTCTGAAAGCATGCAAGCACGAGTAGATAAATAGGTACCACTTCCATGGGCACATTAAAAGGGACATGGAAGGAGCCCCCAATCAGGCATTTCCTGGGGGATGGTGATGTCCCTGGCAAACCCTTTCAACCGGAAGTGCCTTGGTATTTCTGACATGAATGCGAGTGTGAGTTCTGAAGAAGATTCTTGGATGAGAAGCAAAATGCTTTCAGGGAAAAAAACCCCAAGAAAGTCTGGCTGCCTTTTACTAAGCACCTTTGGGACAACCATGACCTGGATGAGTTGAGAATTTCCATAGACAATTGTGCTAAATGTTAAATTCCAGTGGGAGGGAGTTTCTTGCTTTCTGAATACATGCAAGATCATTGGGAGGGGTAATCCCATGTGTGTAAGCATTTTTTTTAACATAGGAAATAACATTTTTTTGCACCTTACTAGCCCAATGTCAGGAGCAGTGTGAAATAGTAGTAAGGTTTCATTCCCTGCCTCCCTTGTCCCAAAAAATAGTATACTACCATCAGATACTATGGACTATGATGATCATGAGCAGCTTTGGATTAAAGTGAGGGAGGAATGGTAAAACTCAGGAACCTGAGGTTTATTTTTTCCTGTCATATTTATATCAATAGGGGGATTTCCATCACCACCATGTTACATCACCATGTTACAAATAATTACACAATAGAGGGCTTATTTAATAATCACCACAGGCTAAAGGATGCTCTCTCACACACTTTCTACTAGAAGGAAGGAAGGAAGGAAGGAAGGAAGGAAGGAAGGAAGGAAGGAAGGAAGGAAGGAAGGAAGGAAGGAAGGAAGGAAGGAAGGAAGGATGGATTCCACAGGGATAAAAACCAAGCGCCCCTCGTTATATAATTCAGATCACTGTGTAAGCCATATTGCATTACTCTTATTATTCAATGGAGTGGTTGTTTGTTTGTTTGTTTTAAATGCCTGGAAATTTAGACTATATTATAAAGCAAGCTGTTTTGGTAAAAGGTGATTTTAATGCCAAACCCCACAAGGCGTAAAATTAGTTGGATTAACAACTTAAGTGACATGCTGTCAGTTGCTGTTTATTTAAACTGAAATGTCACTGCTGAAAAATAAAGCAGGTATATAGAGAGCTGTGGATTTCTATCACCCATTGTTTACACAAGCTGGATTATAAAATTATTTGTTCTATGTTACTTTCTTGGAGATAAGGATCTGCTTCATCATTCAATACACTCCAACGTTCAACACACTCCAACATGAATGATGGCCCTTATAGACATTTGGTGAGAGTTTGCATGGCCATCTGATCAACCAATTCATCTTGAAAGAACAATAGTCTCCAACATGTAACTCACCACTTATGCTGAACATGAACTTCCATAATTCCAAGGCAGTTACAAGCTGGGAAAACTGTTATATAGAGTTTATTTATTAGATTTATAGCCTGGTTTTCCTCTAGGAGTATAAAGTGGCCTACAGAGAAATCACATCTCCAAGTGTTTCACAAGTCCTCTGTGGGGTGGGATAAAGTCACCCTGTTCAGCTTTCCTGACTGAAGGATGAATATTGAATCTCTCAGGTTCCATGTTGGCCCAAAGGTGTTTTTTCAAAAGTCAACTGGACTTTGCTTTTCCTTGAAGATGTTTTGCTTCTCGTCCAAAAAACTTCTACAGTTCTGAAGTTCTTTGGGACCTTTGGGACAACCATGACCTGGACGACTGAGAATCTCCACAGATATTCCACATTGGCTCTCTATACCAGAGTTCCCCAGCCTTTCTGGCTTTACAGACTGGGTGCGGGTGAGGAGGAAAGGGGATGGTTCTGCACGAGCAGTGTGCAAGCGCATGCATACAGTTCCATTTGCGCAAGTGGACTACGGGCATACCTGCCACTCACGCAAGGGAGGATGCTTGTGCATGCATGTTTGCCTGCTGCTTTGGGTGGCCTGGGTTTGACCATCTCATAGCCCACTAGTGGGCCGTGGCCAAAGGGCTGGAGACCCCTGCTCTATAACATTGAGTGAGACAAATGGCCAGGACTTGATGTTACTAAATAGAGCACAACTTTGAACAGGGCCAGTTTCACATCAAATCAGATCAACAGACAGGCGATCAAGAGACTTGAGGGGGGGGGGAAACTACACAGGGTGGATAACCAAGGCATATTTACTTTTCCAGTTTTTCCATTTTCGCATAAATAGGCTTCATTCCCGGACACAACTTCAGGAGGGTTGTCATTTACATCGAGAACTTTGATAGCAACAGGCACTCGAGATATTTGACTGGGATTTCCTAAGAGAAGAAAAACACAGCAGAGGGGAGGATAAAAAGGAAAGAGAAAAGAGAAAGGTAAGCACACTTCATACCATACTAATGACATCCAGGGCCCAAGGTTTGTATATGTGCATTTTTTTTTTATGCTGAAAGCTCAATCAGTCTTTTCCATTTCTAATAATAGGGCTGATTGAGTCCAAATTGGAAGGGGAAAGAAATGAAGATAAAGAAAAGGGGTAGTATTTAACAAAGAAGAGAAAAAGAGAGAAAGCAAATAAATTGCTACTGAAAACAGCTTTTGCTGGAGATTTAGGCTGATGAAGATTGTGGATTAAATTGGTAGATGCCTTCTTTCAGATGAAGTTTGCATTGTTTTATTGATAAAGGGCATTCTGCATGGGGGGGGGAAGAGGATGTAAACAACCAAGATTTATTTTCATTCTTATCTTTCTCAATTTACTCTGCACATCTATTATTTCATGTTAGTTAAAAGAAAAGTGGAAAAGGAAAAAGGGGAGAGGGATGGGGAGAGAAAAAAGAGAGGGAGGGAGAGGGAGAGAGAAAGAGAGGGAGCGAGAGAGAGAGAGAGAGAGAGAGCGAAAGAGAGAGAAGGGTTAAAAAAAATCCAACAGAAGGGTTCTAAAAGATGGAAAGCATAAATAATAGAAGTGGAGAATCATTAAAAAGAAAAGGACAAAGAATATTTCTCCTTATTCAAGATAATTGGAATATTCTCAGGTTGATTTTCTTTGATACAGATATGGGCTTTTGAACTCATGAAAATTATGCACAGAGGGGGCAAATGTCTGACCCACATTTATAGCTACAATTTATCACACTTCCCTTAATTCATTGCCTGGTTCCTAAGTGTGTTTGCTTATATATCTCTTGTTTTGTTTCATAGAGTTAATTTTCAAAGCAGAGACCTAATCAGTTTATTTTAGTTTATAATTGTTGCTTAGAAGATTCGGGCTCTTGCCCTTGAAATATCAGGCTTTGAAGGTGACGTTTTGCTGAAGATAGAACAGAATGATATACATTTGCTTCACATATTTGGCTGTAATTTAAGATTTTATTGTGAAATTCCGTAAGAATAAACCAGCCAGCCTTTGTCAATATGTCAACTGCTCACTAGCTACCAGAATTTACATAAAGGAGAACAGTGAGGATCACTTTGTCATTCACCAATGACAGATATACATTGAACATGAAAAAAGCAATGTAATTTCTTATCAGGGTGAGATTCAGTTATATGCAAGCTGAATATTCAGAACATCACAAATATGCGCATACACAGAAAGACAGAGAGCATTGAATTTTCAGTGCCAAGTGTCACATTTAAGCACTCAAGATTTCCTTTTATCTAAATTAACAGAAAAATGGCAGTTCAAATTTTAGAGACGTTAAACTGAAATGCAATTCATTAGATAAGCGTCTGAAGAAATTATTTATGTCTCTTATGGCTGATCCCAAATGTTTGTCTTTCATCTGAACCACAAACATGAAACCTATAGTTATTATTCTTAGAAACTGGGAAATCATTCATTCCACAATGTATATAATTTGCTAAACCCACTAGAGAAAAACTTATTGAGTAGAGAAATTGTCAGGATGAACACACCAAGACGATTACTTAAAACACAGCTGAAAATTGATTTTTTAATTGGTTTGCTCCTTTTGCTCATGAAGGTTTGGTTCATAGCTCCCTGATATGTTACATAGCATGGGAGGATCTAAGTCTAAGTGTTGTTCATGAAATGAAATTATTTTTATTTCAGAGTGAAAGATACACTGGCTGTCTTCCCATGATGAGAAGTTGTAAGATGCTAACTAGAACCAGTCCTTTCATTGATAGCCTTCTGATTTGTTAATGTCACCCCTGACATTATATTCAGAGTTGAGTTGATTTTCTTTTTGGTGTCAGCCAAATTTATTTCATTTCCTTAGACAGTTTATTCAATACATGAACTAATTTTAAGCATGCATACTATTTAGAAATTTCTGAGCTACTCTAGTTCTTGCCTGCAAAGGTTGTAGCATGTATTTTAATTAGGATATTTAACTGTGCACTTATATTAGAATCTTTATATTTCTATCTCTATCTATCTGTCTGTCTGTCTGTCTGTCTGTCTATTTCTGTCTGTCTGTCTATCTATCTATCTAATATCTATCTATCTATCCATCCATCTATCTCTGTCTGTCTATCTATCTATCTATCTATCTATCTATCTATCTATCTATCTATCTATCTATCTATCTATCTAATATCTATCTATCCATCTATCTATCTATCTATCTATCTATCTCTATCTATCTATCTAATCTCTATCTATCTATCTATCATCTATCTATCTATCTATGTCTGTCTGTCTATCTATCTATCTATCTATCTATCTATCTATCTATCTATCTATCTATCTATCTATCTATCTATCTATCTAGTAGTGCATTATGAGCTACTCCTGGAAAAGGAAAACCTGGTTTTGAAGGAAAGAATATAGATTTTAAACATCAATTAATAAGAATGTAAAAGAAGAAAAAGACCATGATAGATTAGTCCTACCTAAACCTCTTTAACGCTAAACTGTCTTCTCGTTTCAGATTTGTTAAAATTTTGCATTTTGCAGCCTCTGAACAAATGTGATACACAGAGTGGGACCATGAGGTGAAAATTTAGTGTTGTATTGCTGGCTCCTAAGAGTGGGCACTCCCTAGTGCCTATTTCATTTGGGCCCATCCTTGACAGGCAACTTCCTTTCCACTGATTTACACAAGCCTGCAGAGGTACTCTTATCCCAAGAGACAGAACAACTCCTCTTTACACCGCCTGGAGAACAGTGGGGATTACTTTCTGTTACTGTTCTGTTCTGGAATTTCAACAGCAAATGCGACTATGCCACATTAAATCAATCAAGGCAAGATGACATGGGCAAAACCTGATTTTATTAAAGTATTGAAAACAAACACAGTGTAATTATATCCATTTATTTGGCTTCGTATCATACTCCCCCCCCCAACCCAAAGTCTGCAAAGCTAAAGCCTTTCACATCTATATCCACGTGGCTCACACTGGTGAAAATTGTATCTAGCTGTATCAAGACAATCTGTTTCCCCAATCACTTGTTTTCATTCCTTTTCTCCTCCTTCCTCCTGCTTCTCTCGTTGTTATCTTTAATGTTCGATATAACACTGTGCAATGTAGCGGGAAGAAGAAATGCGAAAGCTTACACACTTCCAGTTTTGAATAGCTTGGTAATTAGAGAAATACATTCTGAGAGCCAGTTTGGTGTAGTGGTGAAAGCACCAGGCTAGAAATGGGAGAGTATGAGATATAGTCCGGCCTTAGGTACAAAGCTAGCTGGGGGGGGGGCATTGGGCCAGTCACTTTCTCTGAACCATAGAAGAAAGTAATGGCAAAGCACTCCTGAAAAACCTGCTAAGAAAACTACATGGAGTTGTTCAGGAAGTTGCCAGTAGACAACACCAACTCATGTCAATACTGCTACACACCAAGAGAGATAAATATGAGCAATTGAGGAAAGCAGCTTTTCACCATAAGTTCCACCACCATATAATATCACACACACACACACCTATAAAAGTGCCCGTATTGCAATTACACAATGCTGCTTTTGCCCTTTGAATAGAAGTTGCAATCTTGAGGACACCTCTGAAGTGGACCTGTACGAACTAGAACATGGGGTGAGGTTAAGACTGCTTGGCAATGTATCCTATATGGTATTTTAAGCACTATCCTTGCTTACCTGTTCATTTTTGCTCTTATTTTAAGGTAAAACAAAACAGAAACAGACAATGGCAAGCAACTTCTGAGTATTGTCACAAGTGGTCATGCTTGCTATTTCTGATTGTTTCAGGAGATATTTTTCATTATAATGTGTGGTGGTAGAGTTTACTAACAATGATAAACTGTCTTTAGGGACAACATTATTTTCTTTAAAAAACATATAAAAATAGATAAAATTATAATATATTTTCATGCCTTAGGAAAAGCACTCTTCATTCAGCATTTCCTACATTTATTTGCTTCGGTGAACTTAACACCCCTATTATCCTTCTTCTCATTTATACAAGAAAACAATACAAGGCTAGATGCACTGACAGGTTTTTATCCATCAAATTCTCTTTCTTAAGCCATTTTAACAATGCACAGAACTGCACTTGTACAGAGGGAAAAACTTGTATATTTCTACAAATGTCTTTTGCACGAGGGCAGCAGCATTGAATGCATCCCTGGGCTATGGTAATGCAAACAGTGATGGGAAAAGCAAATGAGTGCACAGTGTTGAAAATGACAGAGTTGAAAACCAAAACTAAAAATCTAAAAACACTAAAAACTAGCATTCTAGAGATTATGCCATTGATCTTAGAATGCACAAAGAATGAGGCAGAGGTCACAGTGAAATTGTCAAGCAGAGGAAAAGAGCAAAGACAGTTTCTCATTCCTACACATTCCGGGATCCGCATAGATGATTATAGCTAGCTACACGTCAAATCAATCCTATGCATATTCACCAAAAACTCAGTGCCTGATTGCATTTGTGGCCAAATTGTAACCTATCCGAATACTGAAATTGTATTTAAAATGCACTAATACAGACGTCATTTGGGACCAGAATAGGTGGAATTTAAAAGAATGGTTATTGCATTTCTGACATTTAACACCTACTTCATTTAATAAGCGCTCAGCGGGCCTACTGCCTCCAGTGTAAATGATTTTGGATAGCTTTCAAAGGACAAGCAGCTGAAAATCTATAAACAGTGGCAGCCGAGCAATCTACAAGTCTGATTAGTGACTCTCCGAGTTTTTCTTGCTTCACCTTCATGAGGTGACATATATCTGCCAAGGTCGTTTACTATGTGAGGGATCAATAGGGGATCTGGAGATGCACAGGCAAAGATGAATTTTCATTCTTCATTTACTGACTCACAAAGAATTTAAGATTTATAATCACATCAAAGCTGAGGCTTCATTAAAAAAAAAAATCTTATCAGGTCCG